TATTAGTGTTGCTGTCATCGGTTAATGATATTAACGTGTACATGCTTTTGTCACTTGTTGTGGTCACTAATTTTAATTTTTTTTTTCTGTGATAGCGTTTTTATCAGCATTTGAAGTTCTACAATCCAGTTCCGATTTTATTGAATACAAATTTTTCAAATCAAAATATTATACTTCTACTGTTATGGCATCATATGAAGACAAATTGATATCGATGGACGGAATCGAAGATTTTCTCGAAAAATCTACATCCAATTGCACTGATAAATCTACTACCAAATGCCTTGAAGAATCTATGCCTGGAAGTCCTGAACCAGTTACATGTGAAAATCTTGACCAGTCAGTGTTTGAATGTCTTGAATCGATTATACGTAGAAGTCTTGAACAATTAATGTATGAAAATTGTATAGAATTTACATTTGAATGTCCTCAACAATTTTTATCTCAAAGTCCTGAACGACTTATGCCCGAAAATTCTGAACAATCTACATCTGAAAGTCCTCAACAATTAACATCTCAAAGTCCTAAACAATTTATGTCTGAAAGCCCTCTACAATCTACATCTGAAAGTCCTCAACAATTAATATCTCAAAGTCCTAAACAATTTATGCCCGAAAATTCTGAACAATCTGCATCTGAAAGTCTTCAACAGTCTTTATCTAGAAGTTCTAAACAATTTATGCCTGGAAATTCTGAACAATCTACATCTGAAAGTCTTCAACAATCTATATCAAAAAGTCCTAATCAATTGTTGCCTGGAAATGTTGAACAATCTACATCTGAAAGTCCTGAGAAATCTACATCTAGAAGTCCTAAAAAATCTATATCTGAGTTTCCAGAATCAGTTGCATGTAAAAGTCCTGAAAAACTTATAGTTGAATGCCCTGTGCCATCTACGTCCTCAGAAAATTTAAATTCTATTCAGGTAAATCCCTATTTTCTATAAAAGTATTTTATTTTAGTTTTATACATTAACAACATATCGGTCAATCCTAGCTAATAGTATCCTAGACTCGGTACTATGTATAATACTAGCATTTAACTCGGTTTACACTAACTATTTAGTGTTTATCAGTAGAAAAATTAAAAATAACAAACATATTGAAGTTATTGAAAATGTTAACAGGCTGAATATTCTTTCAGTAATATTTTAATTTTTTTAAATAAATACATAAAAATTGTCAAATTTAAAACATATTAATACCTAAATTCAATTTAATAAATTAATAATAGTATCTGCAATTTTATAATTTCTTAATTATTTGTATTTTGACAGTGGGTTGTTGGATACTTTGAAGAAGAAAATGTTTATTCGGTCATTCCAAGCAATTGGCTTTTAAATGAAAATGGTTGCTGGTTTTCTAAATGGCCAAATTCTTCATATAAAGCTACTATAGAGGCTAGGATTATAAGTGCTTCCAAGCCTGCCAAGACATGGAAGTACTATGCAGTTAAAATAATTAAAAGATATGGTACGTTTAAAATATTATGAACATTTTAAAAGTTTAAACATAAGTTATAAATTAAACTATTTCAGTGAGAGTTATAGATAATATCTTAACAGATAAATATTACCCATAATTATACCTGTGGTTCCAGTATCATTTATTCATTGTTATACCTTTATTATGACATCAATTTTTTTTTTTTTTTTGTATATTTATTACTTCAAAATTAATATAATATTTTATAATGTATTATTAGATACTTATAATGAAGCAGAGAAAGAAACATTTTTATGTGTACCTAATTCTGATCAAACCAATTTTGGCCGAGGTAAAAGAAAAAAATTAAGTAATATTCGACAAATTGATTTTTTTGGAGATGACAGTGACGATGGTATGATATATTGTTTTCTTAATATATATGAGTGTTATAATAAAAAAAAAAACTTCTAGAAATAAGTGAAACTGATACCAGTATGAAAAGTAAAGTCTATTTGAAAAACAGTTCATCTATGGAACAAAATTCTTCAAGTAATGATTCTTTATTGGATACCCAAAACACTAAAATTTCTTCCATCAATAAATTAACAAGTATGTTGATGACAGGTATCCACTTAATAATATTTTATATTTATATAAGTTATAGAATTACAGTATATATATAATTATAAAAATCATTAATTTTATTAACTTGTAAAGTTTATTTTTATTACTTAAATTATTTATTATAATAACATGACTATATAGATTTATTTATGTATTCAATTTAATTTAAGGTGTAATGCATTTATTGTACCATACTTAATCATTTGAGAAATTCTTGTATTCTCTTAATATCAACCAGCTGTTCCCAACCTTTTGGAGCTCAGGATCAGATTGATTTACATAAAGTATTGTAAATTGCCAATCATTTATTTTATATTAAATCTAAACTATTCATTCATATCATTAACTGTATTGATAAATTAAACATAAATAGTATATTGATAATCTATTTATATTATGTATATCGTTATAAAAAATGTTAATGATGAATAAAAACCAAATAGAAAATAAATTATTTTATGTAATCCTGCCAGAGTTTTACTTAATTGAACAATTTCAGTTGTAGATATAGTATTAAATAAAGTATATAGAAATGTAAACCTTATTTTCATTATTAATACAGAAGTAATACCAGTCAAATCTAAAAATTCTAAATGATTGAATTTTTAAATTAAATTCTAGATAAAATACTTTTTCCAACTGTATAATTAGGCATTAATATTTATTTATTATTAAAAATTATCGTCTTTTTACAGCTAATGAAAAAACTGTTAATATAATGAATGATTCATTAGTCTTAAATAAGAACAATACAAATTCTGGCTCTTCTATTAATAATACTGAGAGTGATAATAAAGGTGAGTTAATGTGTTGGTTTTTTTTTTTTATTAATTATTTAATAAAAGGCTTATTTTTAAGTTAAAATTTCAGATGTGGCTTTGTTTCCTAGTTGTATTTTTAAATGTATTTATAAAATAGATGTGTATTCTTTATTTTCATTATTAATACAGAAGTAATACCAGTCCAATCTAAAAATTCTAAATGATTAAATTTTTAAATTAAATTTTAAATAGATTACTTTTTCCAGCTGTATAAATAGGCATTAATAATTATTTATTTTTGAAAATTATCTTCTTTTTACAGCTAACGAAAAAACTGTTAATATAACGAATAATTCTTTAGTCCTAAATAAGAACAATACAAATTCTGGCTCTTCTATTAATAATACTGAGAGTGATAATAAAGGTGAGTTAATGTGTTGGTTTTTTTTTATTAATTATTTAATAAAAGGCTTATTTTTAAATTAAAATTTCAGATTTGGCTTCGTTTCCTAGTTGTGTTTTTAAATGTATTTATAGAATAAATGAAAAATTAGATAGTTTAAATAAGTTATTAAATTCTGGAAGTTTGTTTGAAACACGACCGAAAACATTAGACCAAGCATTTTTATCATTATTTCCTATGAAAGACACTAAAGATCTTTTATCCATTGATTCAAGACTAACATACTGTACTGAATTTGAAGAGAAGTTTGTAAGTTTTAATTTATTTTTACATTTTTATTTGTATTAACTATGAATTATTATTTTCACAGATATTTTACATCATGTCATTAAATTGTACAACTGTTAAAGATTTTGTTAGACAAAACTTAAATAGATTGTTTACAAACAGTTTAGCAACCAGTTGTACTTGGTTTGGATTCAAAGGAAAATTTGAGCTTAAGAAGTTAAAAATGCTGAATATTATGAATGGTATGTAATTTATTATTATTTTATTAAATTAATTCATTATATTTAAAACTTCTTCAGATGTATCGAGTGCAAAATTTAGTGGTCATACAGATAATGTGTTCAAATTATTTGTTAAAGAGTGGTTCAAACACGGCAAAAAACGTTTTAATCGAGAATTGAATAAAAAGTCTCGACCCATTGTTTCTTCATAGATTATTTGAATGTAAGAATATTATTTAGTTATAGTTATTATTGTTAAAACATTCAAAACATAGATTCATTAAAAGAGCATAATGCTGAGTGATATAAAGTGGCTATGTTAATAATGGAAAGTAATCCATATTTATTTTTATAAGAAAAAAGTTTATTTTCTTCTTTTAATGTGCCAATTACTGCAATTTATTAATTCAATTTTATTCAAATTAAGACATTATATATCACCTATTATATTTTATATATTAAATAGAAAAAATTTATATATTATTAAACTTATTGTTTTTTCTTTGCAGTTTTGCGATATCATTTTTCATCTTCGAGTAACAACAAAAAGTCTTCTATAAATGAATAATGATGCCAATATGTGCCAACATAAAACTAAATTATTGTAGATTCCTGATATTTGAATCAAACTTGAGCCTTGATTCTGCCATTGTGAAATAGATGTTATTAATATTTTATTCTTAATTTCTAGTGAGCAGAAATCAATTAATGTGTAACAGTCATTCATTTAATTTTATCCACATTAGATTCTACTTTTAAAATAGTGTTAAAAAATTATATACTTTATGTAACAAAAATTATTTATAGTTTAGTTATTTTATATATTACTAAATATTTATTAAATATTTTGCATATCTTACCATGCAAAATATCTTGTTACAATAAGTAAAATACTCAGTTTAAAAATCTAATTTTTATTGTATAATATATTTATTATTTCCTTTTTTAAATTATAACAATAGTTAATGAATTCAGCTTACTTCAAACTTGAACTACTTTCCATAATATCAATATTTATTTGGAAACCATTTGCATATCTCATATTTCACCAAAACTATGTTATATTATTATATGTTAACTTTTACTAAAACTATAAAACATGTTTATAATTTTAAGTCTAATATAAATTTATTAATATTTAATTAAAATTACTTTTATATAACTTTTTTTTGAATTTGTTGTGGTATATACTCTTAAAAGTTAATCTGGGTGATTAAACTAAGCAGTTAAAATTTTTTTTTATTATATCTACTTATCTTTTATGGATTTTTTATTTATTTTAGAAAGAAATGCACTTAATTTTTTGTTACAATTGGATTGTTTTTGAAAATTTGTTTTCCCAGGTTCGAATGTAAAGAATATTATAAAAAATTTAAAGAACAAAAATTAAATTTTAAAAAAAATTATTGATCTTAAACCATTCCAAATATAAAATTTACATAATAATATTTAGATATCTATTTTATTGAAATCTAGTGTACGTATTGATGTATTATATATGTTTACATACATAGCTCAATTAAGAATAATGTGTTTCTATCTTAAAATAATATTATATCAGTATTATGTTTTTTCATTAATTAAGTATAGTAATATAGTTATTAATACTTAGTCATAATATAAAACGGACTGTACTATTTTTTTTTTTCTAAGTCAATGTTCAAACCATCAAAGTTGTACTTAAAACATGTATACAATGTTCTCATATGGATTTTTATTTTTTATTATTTGTTAATGTAAATTTTTGTTTATAAACTATTAAATGGTTCCTGTAAAAATAATTTAATATTTCTGAAATTTAATTTTATAATTTGAATAAAGTCATAAATTTATTATTATTTATATGTTACATTATTTAAATATTAATTTACCTATAAATAACTATTATTATTAAATTAATTATTTAGAAATCACAATTTTTCTAAATACATGAAAATTTCTTTAGAATGCTCGATATTTCTAAAAATATACAAACACATATATTATATATGTAGATTCTACATTGTGGAAAGATTTGGTAATTATTGGTATTGTTATTTATTTTTGAATAGGAATTGTTATTGTATAATTTATAAATAAATAGCTTAAATATAGAAATAAATAATTAAATAAGTGGTTAGTCTAAAGTATAATCATATTTGTAATGTATGACCGGTTTCAAATTAAAAATTGTTCGTCAGGTATACATAAAGTTAATAAAATCGCGACTCAATGTGAATACATGAAGGAATTCAATATGAAAAATTAGGTCTTTTTACATAGAGATAATTTATTTTAATAGAAGAGGTTATTTAAAATGATTTCTTATTAGACATACATATATTAAAAAATATAAATACTTCGGTCATTATTATTTATAATTATATAAAATTTAATTATATAATGTGTTATTCTTAAAATAGCTTTGTACATTTAAAATATTAAAATTAATTTTCTTTATTTCATTGAGTATGTGTAACTCATCTAAAACTCAATTAATAAATATAATTTTTTAATTTGTAACCAGTCGTACTTTAAAAATATAATTATACTCTAGTCTAAACTTTTATTACTTTATTTCTATGTATAAAACTATTTGTTTATTTATTTATATATTAATTTACCAGTGTTAAATATTTTATAATTATTTTATTAGAAGTAAATTGTTGAAAAATGTCTTCAATTAGTGTATTATCCGAAAAATATTTAGAGGGGGTAATTAAAATTTATCTACTACTAAATTTAGTCTCATTCTATTATACCTAGTGACTACTAATACTTTTTGTTATTGCCATTTTTAATTGATTTTTACAAGCCGATATCAATGCTAACATTTTTACAGAATTCAAAAAGCATTTATATTATTCACGGAAATCAATGAAAATGATTAAATTATTAATAATGTTTTACAATATTTTTATCTTTAAATATTCTGGGTATTTTTTACGGATCAACCATTTTCATGGAAAATTAATAAATATACAAGCAATTATTTTCTCATGATGACAATGAAAATAGTTTCCAGACTCCAACATTAGTACATTCATTATTCCTCGGGTTGTCTGTATTTAATTGTAATAATAAATTTAATAATAATTATTTGTAATAGCAATATATTTTTTTGATTGTAGTTCTCTAACAAATTTCAACATAACATAAAAGTGAATAAACTAAATATACTCAATAATCTATATTTTTTTTCATATATTTTTTCTGTTAATTTATTAAGCAAAAGTGATTCCTGATCGACTTTATTATAATTCAATCACATTATAAGCGGTTGTTGAATTTATAAGTATTACCATTAATTATAAATACTATATATAATCAATGGTATTACTTTATAACAGAAGCGTACCCAGGAATTTTTTTATGGGGGGGGTCCAAAATGTTTATTTTATCTGTTCTCTAATTATAATTATAATTTAACTTAATACCAACAAATTACTGTTAATATACTATAGTATGGTTTATACATTATAGGTATATTATATAATCTATAAAATTCGTAAAATGAAGATAATGGGAAATTAAAATACACTATATACTATTATTGTACTATTTACTATTAAACCGTTAGTATGTAGAAATTTCAATGGGGGAGGTTCAGACCCGAAACCCCCCCCCCCTTGGGTACGCCCTTGCTATACAAGCCTTTTATGTTTGACTATTGTTAATTAATATAAACCGTATTATTCGCAATGGTGGGCATTAACTTGTTAAAAAGTTAAAGTTAAGTTAAAAAGTTAATTTTTTTTAAAACTTTTTAACTTAACTAGTTAGTTATTTTTGTTTTTAACTTATTAACTTATTCAGTTAATTTTTTTATTGTTTTAACTTAGCTTTTTATAGTTAATTATCGTTATTGTACAGTTAAGTTACTTTTAATTTTTTTTTTTATCACACGGAACCTTCAGACAAAACTTATTCTTTCGATTTTGATAATTTATTTTTTTAATATAATAACATAATATCCTCAATTCATAATAATCAAATTATATTTTAATCTATAGATATTATAGTAAATAGTAATAATTAATATTCTATCTATTGTATAGACTTGCTATTTTCACGAGTTCTATTTAATGATCTATTCGATATTGAATAATACGATTTTTGTTTAGTCTAACTCTATAGTGTAGTTCTAAAAACAGGTTTAAAAATAAATATCATAGTATTTTAAAAGGGTAAAGTTAAAATTGGATATTAATAACACAGGTATCTGCTGGTAAATACGACAATTCCAATGCACAAAACAAAAAGTCGTCCGAGATATTTATAAATTATAATTTATATTTCAGTATTTTGCGTATTCGTTATAAATACAAGTATAACATATGATATTAGAAAAATTAACTTTTTTTTAACTGAGTTAAGTTAATTTTATTTTCTATCTTAACTTTTAACTTATCGAGTTACTTTTTTTTGTTAACTTTTAACTTTAACTGAAGGCAATTTAATTGAATTAACTAACCACAGTTAATAATTTTCATTAACTTGCCCACCTTTAATTATTCGATACCAGATGTACTTTACAAATATAATAATACTCCAGGCTAAGCTTTTATTTATTTCTACACATAGACTATTTATTTATATATTAATTTAAGAGTATTATAAATTTATTAAATTTTAATTTTAATTTTATGTTATATTACTTTATTAATCTTTTTAATAAGTATCAGAAATTGTAGCCTCGCTTCTGCAAGGTTATTATTGTTTATAAGTCACCTATATGTATGGCTAAATATTACGTCCTTTGTTCGTTTTTTCAAAACTAACGTTTCTTTTAATTATTTTTACCAACATCTCCATCGACTATATTTTATTTTCGATAAAGTTTCTACGACTGTAATGTATATGCATTTACGTACCTATTTTATGTCAACATTTCCTTATTTTGCTAATCATGTTGAGAATATTTTTAAAATTTTACTATTTTCTAAATGTGTAATAATTACTAATGAGTATTCTTTTACAGCCATACATAGCTGTACTATACTTAGGTTAGTATGACTGGGTTGAGCAGAATCTTAAGTACAATTGCAACTGGTATTACCATACATTTTTGGAAAGTACCTATCTAGTATCTTGTGCTGCGACACTACTAAACGAGTAATTCATAAAATTGTGATTAAAAAATAATATTTTTTGAAGCAACAATTTTTATTTTAAATTTGTTTAAACATTTTACAACTAGGTATAGCATTAATATTTTTTATTAGCGTTTTATCAAATCCGAGAAAACATTCGTACCATTTTAAATATATAAAATTCTTTTGGATATTTAAATCAAAAATTATTTTTAAAAAGTTATTATAAATCATTACTTACGGGCTGTTAATCAGACAACCTCGATATAAGTATACATTTATATCAAAAGGCGATTAAAAGGTATGCGAGCTTAATTAAACAAAACAATAAATAAAAAACCCCGCGAATGCACGATATCCGCATTATATTATGTATTTGCCGTCCTAATGGATGACTACAATCTTATGAATCATTCGATAAAAAATGTATGTAAATATCAATTATTCTGTTCAGTGACTAATGTTCTTACGAAAAGTCTTACGACTAGAATACGCACGATGAGTCATAATACATTTTGGTTGTAATTCTTTTGTAGGATTTATCGTACACTTGACATTAATATACAGTGCTCAAATTGGAAAAAATTAAGTAGAGGAGTTCAGTCCAAGGATTTAAAAACTACGTTCCCACGCGCAATTATTTAACACAGACCTGCGAGGGGCTTCGTCCTCTCCCCATCAACCTCACATATATTTTGAAAATTACTTTT